CCGGGAATGGAGGTAAGATGGGCAGGAGGGTCAGGGCTCTTATGTGTTTTACGTGGGGCATCAAAATGCTGTCGTACTCCGATATGTTTGATGCAGGCAGGTAGTTGTGGGGCACAGCTGTGCCAGGGTCGTTTTTCTTTGTGGATTCATTACCCCTTGCCCTCTTTCTTGTTCCTGATGCTATTGAGGGTGGCTGGGGCTGGTTGGGGGAGGGGTGTGTGTATGTTTCGCCTCCGTCATTGACGTGCCTGCCCTAATTGACGTGCCTGCCCTAATTGACGTGCCTGCCCGAATTGACGTGCCTGCCCTAATTCTCATGTTCCCATCCACGTGCTGCACGTGCAGCAGGCCTCGGACGATGGGGATGACGTCCAGCCGGGAATGGAGGTAAGATGGGCAGGAGGGTCAGGGCTCTTATGTGTTTTACGTGGGGCATCAAAATGCTGTCGTACTCCGATATGGCTATCGGAGTACGGCAGATTTGTTTGATGCAGGCAGGTAGTTGTGGGGCACAGCTGTGCCAGGGTCGTTTTTCTTTGTGGATTCATTACCCCTTGCCCTCTTTCTTGTTCCTGATGCTATTGAGGGTGGCTGGGGCTGGTTGGGGGAGGGGGGTGTGTATGTTTCGCCTCCGTCATTGACGTGCCTGCCCTAATTGACGTGCCTGCCCTAATTGACGTGCCTGCCCGAATTGACGTGCCTGCCCTAATTCTCATGTTCCCATCCACGTGCTGCACGTGCAGCAGGCCTCGGACGATGGGGATGACGTCCAGCCGGGAATGGAGGTAAGATGGGCAGGAGGGTCAGGGCTCTTATGTGTTTTACGTGGGGCATCAAAATGCTGTCGTACTCCGATATGGCTATCGGAGTACGGCAGATTTGTTTGATGCAGGCAGGTAGTTGTGGGGCACAGCTGTGCCAGGGTCGTTTTTCTTTGTGGATTCATTACCCCTTGCCCTCTTTCTTGTTCCTGATGCTATTGAGGGTGGCTGGGGCTGGTTGGGGGAGGGGGGTGTGTATGTTTCGCCTCCGTCATTTACGTGCCTGCCCTAATTGACGTGCCTGCCCGAATTGACGTGCCTGCCCTAATTCTCATGTTCCCATCTACGTGCTGCACGTGCAGCAGGCCTCGGACGATGGGGATGACGTCCAGCCGGGAATGGAGGTAAGATGGGGGGGAGGGTCGGGGCTCTAATGTGTTTTACGTGGGGCATCAAAACGCTGTCGTACTCCGATATGGCTATCGGAGTACGGCAGATTTGTTTGATGCAGGCAGGTAGTTGTGGGGCACAGCTGTGCCAGGGTCGTTTTTCTTTGTGGATTCGTTACCCCTTGCCCTCTTTCTTGTTTCTGATGCTATGGAGGGTGGCTGGGGCTGGTTGGGGGAGGGGTGTGTGTATGTTTCGCCTCCGTCAGCTGCCCTAATTGACGTGCCTGCCCTAATTGACGTGCCTGCCCGAATTGACGTGCCTGCCCTAATTCTCATGTTCCCATCCACGTGCTGCACGTGCAGCAGGCCTCGGACGATGGGGCCGACGTCCAGCCGGGAATGGAGGTAAGATGGGGGGGAGGGTCAGGGCTCTTATGTGTTTTACGTGGGGCATCAAAACGCTGTCGTACTCCGATATGGCTATCGGAGTACGGCAGATTTGTTTGATGCAGGCAGGTAGTTGTGGGGCACAGCTGTGCCAGGGTCGTTTTTCTTTGTGGATTCGTTACCCCTTGCCCTCTTTCTTGTTCCTGATGCTATGGAGGGTGGCTGGGGCTGGTTGGGGGAGGGGTGTGTGTATGTTTCGCCTCCGTCATTGAGCCTCCCTAATTGACGTGCCTGCCCTAATTGACGTGCCTGCCCGAATTGACGTGCCTGCCCTAATTCTCATGTTCCCATCCACGTGCTGCACGTGCAGCAGGCCTCGGACGATGGGGCCGACGTCCAGCCGGGAATGGAGGTAAGATGGGGGGGAGGGTCAGGGCTCTTATGTGTTTTACGTGGGGCATCAAAACGCTGTCGTACTCCGATATGGCTATCGGAGTACGGCAGATTTGTTTGATGCAGGCAGGTAGTTGTGGGGCACAGCTGTGCCAGGGTCGTTTTTCTTTGTGGATTCGTTACCCCTTGCCCTCTTTCTTGTTTCTGATGCTATGGAGGGTGGCTGGGGCTGGTTGGGGGAGGGGTGTGTGTATGTTTCGCCTCCGTCATTGACGTGCCTGCCCTAATTGACGTGCCTGCCCTAATTGACGTGCCTGCCCGAATTGACGTGCCTGCCCTAATTCTCATGTTCCCATCTACGTGCTGCACGTGCAGCAGGCCTCGGACGATGGGGATGACGTCCAGCCGGGAATGGAGGTAAGATGGGGGGGAGGGTCGGGGCTCTAATGTGTTTTACGTGGGGCATCAAAACGCTGTCGTACTCCGATATGGCTATCGGAGTACGGCAGATTTGTTTGATGCAGGCAGGTAGTTGTGGGGCACAGCTGTGCCAGGGTCGTTTTTCTTTGTGGATTCGTTACCCCTTGCCCTCTTTCTTGTTCCTGATGCTATGGAGGGTGGCTGGGGCTGGTTGGGGGAGGGGTGTGTGTATGTTTCGCCTCCGTCATTGACGTGCCTGCCCTAATTGACGTGCCTGCCCTAATTGACGTGCCTGCCCGAATTGACGTGCCTGCCCTAATTCTCATGTTCCCATCCACGTGCTGCACGTGCAGCAGGCCTCGGACGATGGGGATGACGTCCAGCCGGGAATGGAGGTAAGATGGGGGGGAGGGTCGGGGCTCTTATGTGTTTTACGTGGGGCATCAAAACGCTGTCGTACTCCGATATGGCTATCGGAGTACGGCAGATTTGTTTGATGCAGGCAGGTAGTTGTGGGGCACAGCTGTGCCAGGGTCGTTTTTCTTTGTGGATTCGTTACCCCTTGCCCTCTTTCTTGTTCCTGATGCTATCGAGGGTGGCTGGGGCTGGTTGGGGGAGGGGTGTGTGTATGTTTCGACTCCGTCATTGACGTGCCTGCCCTAATTGACGTGCCTGCCCGAATTGACGTGCCTGCCCTAATTCTCATGTTCCCATCCACGTGCTGCACGTGCAGCAGGCCTCGGAAGATGGGGCCGACGTCCAGCCGGGAATGGAGGTAAGATGGGGGCGAGGGTCGGGGCTCTTATCTGTTTTACATGGGGCATCAAAACGCTGTCGTACTTCGATATGGCTGTCAGAGTACGGCAGATTTGTTTGATGTAGGCAGGTAGTGGTGGGGCACATCTGTGCCACGGTTGTGTGTTTCGTTGTGGAATCTTTAGCCATGTCATGATGATAACACTACATGCTAGGAAGTGTGGCTGGGGCTGGTTGGAGGAGTTGGGATTGTATGTGTCAGCACTGTCTTTGCAGTGCCTGCTTTAATTCTCATGCTCTCATACATGTGCAGCAAGTGCAGCCAACCTCCGATAGTGGGGTTGCAGCCGAAGTCTTAATTTAGGAGGGTGGTGACAAGGAGGGGGAATGGGTTTCACTCAGGGAGGTGAGATGGGAGGGTTGGGGCTCCAGGTGTTGTATCCTGTAAGCTTACTGTTAAGCTCTAGGCTCTGTTGCCTAACTGTCATATGCCGGTCTGTCCACCCTACTGCCGCACTGCTGCAGAAGTCCATACTGGCGTCTGGGCAGGGGCTTTACCTGTCTAAAGCTGGAACCTGCCTTCCTGGATGTCTGCTTCACGAGGCGAGAGTAGTTCCTGCGAACTATGGTCAACATCAAACCACCCAGCCGTACTGGAACTTATTGGCATGAGGCCCAAGTGGATTCTAGAATGATTATTATTCAATCCACTTGCCTCAACCGGTATCTTTTGATACCACCATTTCATTGTTGTGTCACCCCCAAGCTCCCAGGCCCCCGGCTTCCAGGCCCCGAGGCCCCCAGGCTCCCAGGCCCCC